CTTGATTTGACCATAAACACAATTTTTTTAAATGTTTTATTTTCCATTCTAAATTATATTTTTAATATTAATAAATATACTAACATGTAGGCAATAGTTGCACCTTTTATGTTCTATTATCGTTTTCATCAAAAACATTTGCATATTGTGCACGTGGTTTCGTGAAGGACCAAAAATCCATAAAATTTTCTGCTAACTGGCTGAAGGTTCTTCCGTGCGAAACTTTGGCAATTTTGGATACATTATTTTTCACCATAACAACATTAACTTTTAATTTCGTATATTAGTTTTAGATACACTGTTGGAAATAATTCACGAGCACACCGTGTATAATCTGAACGCGTGTGTCTAGCGTAATAAAATTTGGTATGGAAGTAGTACTAAAGTAGTGTAACTTACTCTCACATGGAGAGCGGCACAACTCTGCTGGGAGGAGAAACATCAATAGCGAGAGTATGCCCCGTGAGCTTCGCGTACCATCGCTACACGACGTGACATGGTGTCTATAAGTCGCGGTATTGTAGCAAGAGGGATGGCCAACCATGCCACCTCAACTCGCCTTCATAGCTCATCAATGTTAGCCGATGAAGCCGGATAACGTAGAAGTCTCCGACCAGTCATGTCCCAAACATGTTCGATCGGATTCAGATGTGGAAACCGAGTTAGCCATGGAAGCATTTGTATACGGTGCTCTTCCACAAAGGTCTGTACAACACGTCCGATGTGCTGTCGTACGTTGTCGTGCATGTATAGCAGACCTGGGAGCCGCCGAACGTAGGGAAGCACAACGGACCGTAGCACCTCATCTACGTATCGTTGACCCGTCATGGTCTGCTATACACGCAGCAGACGTGTACGTCCACCATATGTAATCGCACCCCATACCATAATGCTCGGTTGTCGGTGGATAGGGCGTTCTTGCACACACTGCTCGAGTAGGCGATCACCACGATTCCGACGAACTAAAATTCGCGCATCACCGGTGCTCAATTCGAATCTTGATTCGTCGGAAAACAAAATGTCCCTCTACTCGGCAACCTACTAATGCCTAGCGTCGACCCACTCGTGACGTATGCTGTGGTGCTCGGGTGTTACTGGAATCCGCTGTATCGCACGACGCGCGCGCAGTCCACTATCTACCAAACGCCGCCGTACAGTTCGCGTAGTAAGTGCGCCTTCCCCTGCCGGTGGCCAAACAGCTCAAGTTGCCTTGAGGAGGACGCACACGACGCTAAAGCACTGAGCACAAGAACGCGATCCTCGTGTGCTGGGGTCACGCAGGGCCGTCCCGGTTGTGGCTGAAGGTACCTATGTCCTACCTCAGACCATTCTTGCCATGCCCGTTGCACTGCCTATAACGACCGTTCGAGACGACACGACGCGCAAATTCACAGAACAATACACCCTTAATGTGCATACGCACAAACATTCCTCGCTCAAACTCGCTTAAGTAACGCGATCGCCCATCCATTGCGCACAGAGAATGATAACAATGTGGTCGGGGGGCGAATGGCCCCGTGGTAAGCTTTCGGGCTACCACGCCGGCGTCCTGGGTTCGATTCCCAGTGAATACACGCCGAGTCGCCTCCTCGTCCTTCGGAGGGGACGTTAAGCCGTCGGTCCCGGCAACCAGTCTAACATCTCTGGTTGTCGCCAGATACATGTGTAGTTGGTGGTTGTGAACGTAAAAACAGGTTGAAAGCGCGTCTGCGCTCTTTGAGCGGTACTCAGCCATGCACCCAAGTTTCTGGGCGTTGAAGTACCAGCCCGGCTTGGGGGTCGTCTTCAAATTGCTGGGCGTTGGAGTACCAGCCCGGCTGAAGGCGAGGCGAGAAGCGGTATCAGCCTGATCGGATGCCATCTTCGAACATCTTTCACTCCTCCAAATATACCTACACATGGCCGCAGTAAACCGTGAGGATGTACAAAGGGACCGTTGGGGCCTAAGTGCTTTGGTTATACCACCTGTGGTTTAACCAACCTCACATGAAACTACACACACTACACAACAATGTGGTCCCTCACACCACACTAAAAACTACCGATATTTTTCCATCCATTTCAGTCTCCATAGCGACGGAATGTTCCACTTGAAAGGGCGGCTCAGTCAACAATGCCGCAACGGAATAACTCAAAACTCCCTCAATAAACTCGTCTACAGTAAACCTTTGTGCTCCACAAATATTATGGATTTATTTTCACGCGTTCAGATTATATAGGGTGTGCTCGTGAATTATTTCCAACATTGTAGAATAAAAAGAATTTTTGTTAATTGTTCAATAACTATAAAAAATATACCCAACAAACTATATACGGCGTGATTTATTAGCTCACCATCAAACTTTAACATATGATAGCTAATCCAATTACCAAAAAAAATGTTAATGAACATATGTCCTATTTCAATTATTTACGAAATTATAACACTTTAAAGTTTTCTGCAGCGAATTTATTAATAGTCAGTAAAATCAATCATTCGACAAAAACAAAGTTATCATTGTAATATGTCAGTTTGCTGTAAGGTTTAATTATTACTTATAACATACAAGAAAAAACTCAAAATGTACGCTTATAGCACTGAAGAGTATGCTGATATAATTTTCGTGTATGGTTTTTGCAATGGAAATGCTCGACAATCAGTACGAAAATATCAAGAAAGATTTCCACAGCGTCATTTGCCATATTATTCAGTTTTTAGCGATTCTTTCAGAAGACTTCGTTTCTCGAAGTCTTATTCCAAGGTAATCTTACTCCAGCAAAAGCTATTCGACCGCATGTAGTTAATGTAGAGGACGAAGAAACTATAATTAATGCTGTGGTTAATGCTATGGTTTCCATTAAAAAAAAAAAGTTATATACTTCTAAAATCTAGAAAATAAAAGATTGGAAAAAAATTTTACGCCACTGAATTCTTCGTAAAAAGTTGCCCATATAATATTTTATTTATAATACACCATCTTTGGTAATAAGTGAGATATTCGCGTTTGTCGTTTTCGCAAATCTTTTAGTTTTTGCTGATAGGGGGAAAACAAAAGACGATAGCAGCTCGGAGTTTTCAGGATTAGCAGTTTCTCGAAAAACGAGATCATGACATATAAGCTACTTTTTGTCTATCTCTTTTAGTTTCGGAGATAGCCTAAGCGGACAATGAATTTGGGACACCTCTAAAGAGTATTAGAGAAAAAAGTATTTTCTTTTAAATGCATTTGTCAAAAACGTCAAATTGAAATCAATTTACAATAAAATATCTTTTATCTACGACTGCTTGGATAAGTCATCATTACCGCACTCATTTGAGGTGATTTGAGTAACGTAATGAAGTTGGTTTCATTACGTAACGCATTTTTAGCCTAATCAGAACAGACTTAATTTATTGAAACGAGCAACAATACAAAAGAAAAGGTGCTATCTACTTACAGAGAAACAATACTATTTATTATAAACATTAATTGTTATGTTTTTACATTTCAAAACACTTATTCCAGATGAGTAAACATGTTGAAACTGATAATTCAAAATTGACAACAATCATTTCAAAATATTTTTATAAATGTCAAATAGACTTTTTTTAAGAATATGATTTTTTAGTAATTTTTAGCAGTCGTAGATAAAATGCTGTATATCACACGTGGGCTAGAGCATAATTACAGTACTCGTGTGATTACACGACTCGGTCTACGACCTCGTCGTGCAATTCTCCACGCTCGTACTGTAATTATGTTTCTTTTATCGTCAACCGGCAGTAAAACCATACTTTACGCTATCCATTTGCGTCAGTAAAGTGAAACTTTGTGCTACTATCTAGTAAACTGTGCATTTAGCGGCAGACAAAGTACTTTACCTGCCGCATATGCGGCAGACAAAGTACTTTACCTGCCGCTAATTGCTGTCAATTTGAAAAAAATGCTGTTGAACAGCTGGATTTGAACCCGGTGTACCTTCTGTATGAAAGCGCACTTCCCTCTCCACTATACTACCGACCTTTGATACATAGTGTAACTTTACCGAAGTATATTAACAAAACAAATCGTTTGACACATGTCATAATATTGGTAAGTTAGAATATCTTTATATCGTTAAATTTTGCGGTTGGCGATAAAATGTTGTATGCAACACGTCAGCAAAGTGTCTTTATCGAACTCGCCTGTTTACTCGCCTCGCTCGCTCGACTCGCAAACTCAGACTCGTTCGATAAAGCATAACTTTGCCGACTTGGTACATAAATAACTATTTCAAAACCGTCCAACCTGGAAAGTTAAATAAATGTTAAGGAATAAATTAAATGATTTATAAATATAAATAATAATTTTTAAGGAGAAATACATTACGTAAAATACCAAACCATTGTAACGTAATAATTGTAGAATTTTATTACTCATCAAAGTCACATGGTTTATTACCGGCGAGCACGTTTACGTTTATAAAGTATGTTTTTATTGCAGCTTGGCAAAATGGACTTTATTTTAGGGTACCTTCATAACCACCGTGTGTTGTTGCGTTGCTTCGCGTCGGTCGGCATCGTTTACAAAATTTATTTTATAAATAAGCTAATAAAAATAATGTTAGTTTTCAAGAATTTCCGTGAAAATCAAAATGATTCACTGCGTAAACTCGCGTCGTAGTGCATCCAAAAAAAAAGTTCGAGGGAAAGTTTTGACGTAAATTTGTCTAACGACCGTCCAAACGGCACGCTCAATTTATAATCTTCCCACTGCATTACGATCTTTAAGCGAAGCGAAGGCGACGCGTTCTAAAATTACTATTTGTCAGATTGTAAATAAGATTTTGAGGCAAATTAATTTGAATAAGATTAGGAAAATTCCGCTGCACTCATTGATAAATAATTAAGCGAAGAAAACAACAAGAACATAATCGTTAAAAAAATTCCATTGTTATTGGACTTTAACACGAAATATTTATTAACTCAATTAAAATAATAATAAATAAATTCTTAAAACAAAAATTAAAATACAATTTTAACATAAAGCTTTAAAAATAAGTAGGACTAACTAATAATTATTATTAATAATATCATTCTTCACATTTAAATTTTTTATTTCATTCGATTTTTTGCTATATAAGCGACAATCTCTTCGACGAATCTTCTTAACGTAGATTGTCTCAATTTTCCCACATCAATAACTTCTTCGTGATTCGGTTGACTATGATCATAATAATCCATTACGCATTCATTCGTAATCAAACTAAACGCTAAAACAGTCATGTTACAATGTCTTGCTGTTAAAACTTCGTGAACAGTTGACATTCCAACGGCATCAACACCCAACAATTTTAACATTCTTAATTCGGCCACTGTCTCAAAGTTTGGCCCCCCCAAACACGTATAAACACCTTCAAACAACCTCCCATCGAATTGTTGATTTTTCCAAATATCTTTCGCTTTCTCGATTAAGTCGCGATCGTAAGCTTTGCACATCGGTGGGAATCTAGGTCCAAAACGCGATTCGTTCGGGCCTTGTAACGGGTTATTTCCGGCGAATCCCATCATGTTGATGTGATCCTTAATCAACATGACGTCGCCTTCGTTGAAAGCCGGGTTGATTCCGCCGGCCGCGTTTGTTGCAATCAGAAATTCAACCCCGATTAATTTCATAACGCGAATTGGCATCGCGCATTTCCATAATGGGTAACCCTCGTAATGATGGAAACGACCTTGCATGCAAACTACGTAAGTTCCGGAACATGCTCCAAAAACTAATTGACCTGCGTGACCTTCGACTGTACTTACGGGAAAATTTGGAATTTCACCGTAAGGTATTATCGTTTTATCTTGTAAAGTGTCGGCTAAAGCACCTAGAAAAAATAAAAATTATTTAGATTAAAAATAATATTCGTTTCGATTTATCGAAACGTTGCAAAATCTGTTCAAATTACTCAAGTTACTTAATCATTATCGATAAAGTTGGGAAATTCCGTTACAAATAAAATTGAAATTTCGATAAACGTAAATTAATCACGTAGTAGTAATAATCAATAACAACGAATGATCTTGAACTGAAGAATGTTTTAATAATAATGATTCAAACTCAATTTATGGGCACTAAATCGTAACAATAATATTAATGGGAAAAGAAAGTGAATTTTAACACATTAAATCTTGAATAAATATGCTTTTAAATCTTATTTATTTTAATCGATTTTTAATCGATTTGACTATTAATTTATGGATTTATTCAAAAAATCATAACAATGAAATTAATGGGAATATAAAAATGAGTATTAGCACACCAAATCTTGAATAAATTAGCTTTAAAATCTTGTTTATTTCATGGTGATATCTCAATTAGTTCTTGAGATATGATTTTTTGTAATTTTAATCTAATCTATTTAATTTTATGGGTTTATTCAAAAAATCATAATAATAAAATTAATAGGAATATAAAAATGAGTTTTAGCACACTAAATCTTGAATAAATTAGCTTTAAAATCTTGTTTATTTCATGATGATATCTCAATTAGTTCTTGAGATATGATCTTTTGTAATTTTAATCTAATCTATTTGACTTTATTAATTTATGGGTTTATTCAAAAAATCATAGTAATAAAATCAATGGGAATATAAAAATGAATTTTAGCACACTAAATTTGGAATAAATTAGCTTTAAAATCTTGTTTATTTCACGATGATATCTCAATTAGTTCTTGAGATATGATCTTTTGTAATTTTAATCTAATCTATTTAATTTTTTGAATTTATGGATATATTCAAAAAATCATAATAATGAAATTAATGGGCATATAAAAATTAATTTTAGCACACTAAATTTTGAATAAATTAGCTTTAAAATCTTGTTTATTTCACGATGATATCTCAATTAGTTCTTGAGATATGATCTTTTGTAATTTTAATCTAATCTATTTAATTTTTTGAATTTATGGATTTATTCAAAAAATCATAATAATGAAATTAATGGGAATATAAAAATTAATTTTAGCACACTAAATTTTGAATAAATTAGCTTTAAAATCTTGTTTATTTCATGATGATATCTCAATTAGTTCTTGAGATATGATCTTTTGTAATTTTAATCTAATCTATTTGACTTTATTAATTTATGGGTTTATTCAAAAAATCATAATAATAAAATTAATGGGAATATAAAAATGAATTTTAGCACACTAAATTTTGAATAAATTAGCTTTAAAATCTTGTTTATTTCATGATGATATCTCAATTAGTTCTTGAGATATGATCTTTTGTAATTTTAATCTAATCTATTTGACTTTATTAATTTATGGGTTTATTCAAAAAATCATAATAATAAAATTAATGGGAATATAAAAATGAGTTTTAGCACACTAAATCTTGAATAAATTAGCTTTAAAATCTTGTTTATTTCATGATGATATCTCAATTAGTTATTGAGATATGATCTTTTGTAATTTTAATCTAATCTATTTGACTCTATTAATTTATGGGTTTATTCAAAAAATCATAACAATAAAATTAATGGGAATATAAAAATGAGTTTTAGCACACTAAATCTTGAATAAATTAGCTTTAAAATCTTGTTTATTTCATGATCATATCTGAATTAGTTTTTGAGATATGATTTTTTGTAATTTTAATTTAATCTATTCGACTTTATAAATTTATGGATTTATTCAAAATATCATAATAATAAAATTAATGGGAATATAAAACTGAGTTTTAGCACACTAAATCTTGAATAAATTAGCTTTAAAATCTTGTTTATTTCATGATGATATCTCAATTAGTTCTTGAGATATGATCTTTTGTAATTTTAATCTAATCTATTTAATTTTTTGAATTTATGGATTTATTCAAAAAATCATAATAATAAAATTAATGGGAATATAAAAATTAATTTTAGCACACTAAATTTTGAATAAATTAGCTTTAAAATCTTGTTTATTTCACGATGATATCTCAATTAGTTCTTGAGATATGATCTTTTGTAATTTTAATCTAATCTATTTAATTTTTTGAATTTATGGATTTATTCAAAAAATCATAATAATAAAATTAATGGGAATATAAAAATTAATTTTAGCACACTAAATTTTGAATAAATTAGCTTTAAAATCTTGTATATTTCATGGTGATATCTCAATTAGTTCTTGAGATATGATCTTTTGTAATTTTAATCTAATCTATTAAATTTTTTGAATTTATGGATTTATTCAAAAAATCATAATAATAAAATTAATGGCAATATAAAAATGAGTTTTAGCACATTAAATCTTGAATATATTAGCTTTAAAATCTTGTTTATTTCATGATGATATCTCAATTAGTTATTGAGATATGATCTTTTGTAGTTTTAATCTAATCTATTTAATTTTATGAATTTATGGGTTTATTCAAAAAATCATAATAATAAAATTAATAGGAATATAAAAATGAGTTTTAGCACACTAAATCTTGAATAAATTAGCTTTAAAATCTTGTTTATTTCATGGTGATATCTCAATTAGTTCTTGAGATATGATTTTTTGTAATTTTAAACTAATCTATTTAATTTTATGAATTTATTCAAAAAATCATAATAATAAAATTAATGGCAATATAAAAATGAGTTTTAGCACACTAAATCTTGAATATATTAGCTTTAAAATTTTGTTTATTTCATGATGATATCTCAATTAGTTACTGAGATATGACCTTTTGTAATTTTAATCTAATCTATTTAATTTTATGAATTTATGGATTTATTCAAAAAATCATAATAATACAATAATACAAGGAATATAAAAATGAGTTTTAGCACACTAAATTTGGAATAAATTAGCTTTAAAATCTTGTTTATTTCATGATGATATCTCAATTAGTTCTTGAGGTATGACCTTTTGTAGCTTTAATCTAATCTATTTAATTTTATGAATTTATTCAAAAAATCATAACAATAAAATTACTGGGAATATAAAAATGAGTTTTACCACACCAAATCTTGAATAAATTAGCTTTAAAATCTTATTTATTTCATGATGATATCTCAATTAGTTATTGAGATATGATCTTTTGTAATTTTAATCTAATCTATTTGACTCTATTAATTTATGGGTTTATTCAAAAAATCATAACAATAAAATTACTGGGAATATAAAAATGAGTTTTAGCACACTAAATCTTGAATAAATTAGCTTTAAAATCTTGTTTATTTCATGGTGATATCTCAATTAGTTCTTGAGATATGATTTTTTGTAATTTTAATCTAATCTATTTAATTTTATGAATTTATTCAAAAAATCATAATAATAAAATTAATGGCAATATAAAAATGAGTTTTAGCACACCAAATCTTGAATAAATTAGCCTTAAAATCTTATTTATTTCATGATGATATCTCAATTAGTTATTGAGATATGATCTTTTGTAATTTTAATGTAATCTATTTGACTTTATTAATTTATAGGTTTATTCAAAAAATCATAATAATAAAATTAATGGGAATATAAAAATGAGTTTTAGCACACTAAATTTTGAATAAATTAGCTTTAAAATCTTGTTTATTTCATGATGATATCTCAATTAGTTATTGAGATATGATCTTTTGTAGTTTTAATCTAATCTATTTAATTTTATGAATTTATGGATTTATTCAAAGAATCACAACAATGAAATTAATGGGAATATAACAATGAGTTTTAGCACACCAAATCTTGAATAAATTAGCTTTAAAATCTTGTTTATTTCATGATGATATCTCAATTAGCTCTTGAGATATGATCTTTTGTAATTTTAATCTAATCTATTTAATTTTATGAATTTATGGATTTCTTCAAAGAATCATAATAATAAAATTAATGAGAATATAAAAATGAGCTTTAGCACACTAAATCTTGAATAAATTAGCTTTAAAATCTTGTTTATTTCATGATGATATCTCAATTACTTATTGAGATATGTTCTTTTGTAATTTTAATATAATCTATTTAATTTTATCAATTTATGGATTTATTCAAAAAATCATAATAATAAAATTAATGGCAATATAAAAATGAGTTTTAGCACACTAAATCTTGTATAAATTAGCCTTAAAATCTTGTTTATTTCATGATGATATCTCAATTAGTTCTTGAGATATGATCTTTTGTAATTTTAATCTAATCTATTTGACTTTATAAATTTATGGATTTATTCAAAAAATCATAATAATGAAATTAATGGGAACATAAAAATTAATTTTAGTACACTAAATTTTGAATAAATTAGCTTTAAAATCTTGTTTATTTCATAATGATATCTCAATTAGTTATTGAGATATGATTTTTTTAATTTTCATCATTCCACTTAATTCCGCATATAGTAATCGGCATTTAGAGTTGAATTAAAAAAAATTGTAACAACAAATTTTACAGGAATTTATAAATAATTCTTTCTATTAAACTAAAACTATAACTAACACTAGCACTATCACTAGAACTAACACTAGACCTAGAACTAGAAACATTTTGAAAGTTTCTAGTTCTAGGTTTAGTGTTAGTTCTAGTTTTAATTGTTATGCAGCAAGAACGTAAGAACGTTAAGAACGTCAAGAACGTCTTGAGAGACGTGCGGCTAAACCCGAATGATTCTAGTTCTAAGTATAGTGTTAGTTCTACATAGTAATAGTGCTAGTGTAAAATTAGAACTAACACTAGACCTAAAACTAGAAACATTCGGGTTTAGCCGTCTTGNTAACAATAAAATTACTGGGAATATAAAAATGAGTTTTAGCACACTAAATCTTGAATAAACTAGCTTTAAAATCTTATTTATTTCATTGTGATATCTCAATTAGTTCTTGAGATATGATCTTTTGTAATTTTAATCTAATCTATTTGACTTTACTAATATATGGGTTTATTCAAAAAATCATAACAATAAAATTACTGGGAATATAAAAATGAGTTTTAGCACACTAAATCTTGAATAAACTAGCTTTAAAATCTTATTTATTTCATTGTGATATCTCAATTAGTTCTTGAGATATGATCTTTTGTAATTTTAATCTAATCTATTTGACTTTACTAATATATGGGTTTATTCAAAAAATCATAACAATAAAATTACTGGGAATATAAAAATGAGTTTTAGCACACTAAATCTTGAATAAACTAGCTTTAAAATCTTATTTATTTCATTGTGATATCTCAATTAGTTCCTGAGATATGATCTTTTGTAATTTTAATCTAATCTATTTGACTTTATTAATTTATAGGTTTATTCAAAAAATCATAATAATAAAACTAATGGCAATATAAACATGAGTTTTAGCACACCAAATCTTGAATAAATTAGCTTTAAAATCTTATTTATTTCATGATGATATCTCAATTAATTATTGAGATATGATCTTTTGTAATTTTAATGTAATCTATTTGACTCTATTAATTTATAGGTTTATTCAAAAAATCATAATAATAAAATTAATGGGAATATAAAAATGAATTTTAGTACACTAAATTTTGAATAAATTAGCTTTAAAATCTTGTTTATTTCATGACGATATCTCAATTAGTTCTTGAGATATGATTTTTTCAATTTTCATCATTCCACTTAATCCCGCATATAAAAATCAGCATTTAGAGTTTAATTAAAAAAAATTGTAACAACAAATTTTACAGGAATTTACAAATAATTCTTTCTATTAAACTAAAACTATAACTAACACTATCACTAGAACTAACACTAGACCAAGAACTAGAAACATTTTGAAACTTTCTAGTTCTAGGTTTAGTGTTAGTTCTAGTTTTAATTGTTATGCAGCAAGAACGTAAGAACGTTAAGAACGTCAAGAACGTCTTGAGAGACGTGCGGCTAAACCCGAATGATTCTAGTTCTAAGTATAGTGTTAGTTCTACATAGTAATAGTGCTAGTGTAAAATTAGAACTAACACTAGACCTAAAACTAGAAACATTCGGGTTTAGCCGTCTTGAGACGTGCAGTTAACATTAGACCGAGAACTAGAAACGAGTGATAGTACTAGTGTTAGTTATAAGTATAATTCTTTCTATATTAAAATTTGAATAAATTTGCAATAAAACGCTAATTTTNTCATAACAATAAAATTACTGGGAATATAAAAATGAGTTTTAGCACACTAAATCTTGAATAAATTAGCTTTAAAATCTTGTTTATTTCATGATGATATCTCAATTAGTTCTTGAGATATGATCTTTTGTAATTTTAATCTAATCTATTTGACTTTATTAATTTATGGGTCTACTCAAAAACTCATAACAATAAAATTAATGGGAATATAAAAATGAGCTTTAGCACACTAAATTTTGAATAAATTAGCTCTAAAATCTTATTTATTTCATGGTGATATCCCAATTAGTTCTTGAGATATGATCTTTTGTAATTTTAATCTAATCTATTTGACTTTACGAATATATGGGTTTATTCAAAAAATCATAACAATAAAATTACTGGGAATATAAAAATGAGCTTTAGCACACTAAATCTTGAATAAATTAGCTTTAAAATCTTGTTTATTTCATGATGATATCTCAATTAGTTCTTGAGATATGATGTTTTGTAATTTTAATCTAATCTATTTGACTTTATTAATTTATGGGTTTATTCAAAAAATCATAACAATAAAATTACTAGGAACATAGAAATAAGTTTTACCACACTAAATCTTGAACAAATTAGCTTTAAAATCTTGTTTATTTCATGGTGATATCTCAATTAGTTCTTGAGATATGATTTTTTGTAATTTTAATCTAATCTATTTAATTTTATGAATTTATTCAAAAAATCATAATAATAAAATTAATGGCAATATAAAAATGAGTTTTAGCACACTAAATCTTGTATAAATTAGCCTTAAAATCTTGTTTATTTCATGATGATATCTCAATTAGTTCTTGAGATATGATCTTTTGTAATTTTAATCTAATCTATTTGACTTTATAAATTTATGGATTTATTCAAAAAATCATAATAATGAAATTAATGGGAACATAAAAATTAATTTTAGTACACTAAATTTTGAATAAATTAGCTTTAAAATCTTGTTTATTTCATAATGATATCTCAATTAGTTATTGAGATATGATTTTTTTAATTTTCATCATTCCACTTAATTCCGCATATAGTAATCGGCATTTAGAGTTGAATTAAAAAAAATTGTAACAACAAATTTTACAGGAATTTATAAATAATTCTTTCTATTAAACTAAAACTATAACTAACACTAGCACTATCACTAGAACTAACACTAGACCTAGAACTAGAAACATTTTGAAAGTTTCTAGTTCTAGGTTTAGTGTTAGTTCTAGTTTTAATTGTTATGCAGCAAGAACGTAAGAACGTTAAGAACGTCAAGAACGTCTTGAGAGACGTGCGGCTAAACCCGAATGATTCTAGTTCTAAGTATAGTGTTAGTTCTACATAGTAATAGTGCTAGTGTAAAATTAGAACTAACACTAGACCTAAAACTAGAAACATTCGGGTTTAGCCGTCTTGAGACGTGCAGTTAACATTAGACCGAGAACTAGAAACGAGTGATAGTACTAGTGTTAGTTATAAGTATAATTCTTTCTATATTAAAATTTGAATAAATTTGCAATAAAACGCAAATTTTATTTGGTAGTGATATTCCAATTAGTTTTTGAGTTTTAAAGTTTTTAATTTTTGTGTTTTTGCATGCAAAAAAAGACCACTACAATATCTTTAATAATTTTTTTCTCGATATTTTTATTATCAAACACTCCGATTATTATACGTTATTTTAAATAGAACACTTTAGAGTTTAATTTAAGATATGAGTCGTTTCTTAAAACCTGAATAAACCGAAAGTGTTTACTAAATTTAGTATACGCATGCAAAAAACAAATATTATGAACCTTCATTCCAATACTGACCCATTCCTGACCCGCAAATGATCCCGATTGATGGCATCTTCGGTATTCTATCAAGTACGTACTTGGCTGTGATCATCAAATCATCGTAGGTGCAACTAAACAGCAAGAAAACAAGAAATAAATTAATCTGCTTTAAAAAGATTTTTTTTTTATTCTCACCGATTTCCAAGCATGTTAAAAAATCTAATAACAAGTTTATAACCTTTTGTGTACCCAAACGGAATAAAACTAAACCTACCCATGACTAAACCAATGAGTTATTTATATACTATTTTAGTGAGATTGTGGTTGTACCGAGAATTGATTATAGTTATGATTAGATTTTATGATTTTGTAAAGTTATATTTTTTAACCCATTCAATGTCAGTGTCAAAGTGAATATAATTATATTAATATCTAAAATAAAAACACTAACAAAACACCCCTTTATTGCATACATCGTTGTTATTTATTTAGTATTTGTTTTAAAATGATTTTTTAGGATGGATTTCGTTATCGTTAATGCACTTAACACATTAACTTCTAACTTACCGTCCATTATCAGATATTGTATTGTTGTTGTCAATCGAGTTGTTAGTGTTCCATGAGGGTTGTGTGGTTAAAAATTGAATCTTTTTAACGGTAATAGGTAACCTTCAAATGAAAGCAATAATAGCAATAATTATCAAAAATATCATTCTTTTTAATTATTAATTTAAATTAATTTTTTTTATGTTAAACCGAAAACAAGATGAGATATAAGTTTTATTACAATAACAACGATATCAGCTGATGTGGACAGAAACAATTACTTAATTACTTAACTGGGACGCGAAACGGAACAAATAATGATTAAATGGTTACGTCAATAGAACGAATTTTTATAAACATTTTGTTGGATATAATTTCATCAGCTGATTCTGTCGTAAAACTTTTATTATTGACAATATTTCGACATCTACAAAGGTCATCAATGATAAGGTTGAACTTGATTTTTGAACAACACTGCGTGCCTTAGCAACTAATTATCGAAAAAAAATTGAAAATTAAACAAATATGTACATAATTACAAGTATTTGTGGAATCTTATCGTTTTACAATTGCAATAACGATTCAACCAAATGAAACTCTGATCGCAATCTTATCAAGCTATGCACGTAAGTATGGATGTGACACACCTCCTTTTGTTAATAACGTAAAAAATCATTTTTTTAAATTAATTATTAATATTAAAGAGTAAAGAAATGATTTAATTTTAAAAAAACGTACCTATCACCATTCGTTTCGAAACCATTTCCGTTTCTGATTTCACCATTGGTATACTTGGTTCCATTCATATTGTAGTACGATTAGGACTCGGTAACAAACTCAAATGGGTTTTAACTGTAGCGCTAGCGGAACTTGAAATGAACACGTTCCTCCGATTATGAACATCTTATATACAGCCTTGGCGACGATATCAAACGGTCACTCAATCTTCATGATGTTATTATTTCTTTTTTTTTTTGAATTGGAAAAAACGATAAGAAATGTTAACGAATTTATAAAAAATCATAACTTAATTTGCCTTTGGAAATTTGCAATAAAAATAAGAGAGATTGTAAATAAATTAGTGTCCTTAAAGGTGTAATTGAGAAAATTATTTCAACACAATACAATTTTTAGAAAATAATTTGCAAAGTTAGATATTACTACTAAAACGTTTTTGAGTTGTTGAAATTATACAGTATGTCCGTAAAATAGCAATGTACAGTGTGTTAATTAATTATTGTACCCGACGTCATCATTGCAAGTATGCAACCAATATCACAGTGCAATACGCATCATACATAAATCGCGTATTGCAATACCAATACTGTGATATTGGTTGCATACTTGCAATGATGACGTTGAGTATGATAATTAATTAACACATTGTTTGTAGCTTCATGTGGGGGTGAATTCCTTTACAGTACTTAGGCCCACAGCGACTTAGAAGACCTTCTCCCAATAATAATATCCCTATATATAGCTAGCTACAGCTTTAGCTATATACCCACTCTATGGAGGAAAGTAAAGGTGGTCTACATACCTAAAGGTGGTAGGCGTTCAAACGCGGACCCCAAGGCGTACAGACCAATTAGCCTAACTTCATTTCTCCTCAAAGGGATGGAAAAGGTAATCGATCAATACCTAAGGAATGGAGTGCTTCTCACAAATCCACTCCACCCTAGCCAACATGCTTACCAGAAAACAAAATCAACAATTACCGCTCTCCATGCTTTGACTAGCACCTTAGAGGAGGCAATTGCAACCAAAGAGATAGCCCTTTGTGCTTTCATAGATATAGAGGGTGCGTTTGATAACACCTCATATGAATCCATAGAGAAGGCTCTAAACGAAAAAGACATACATCCGTCGACCGGAAGTGGTATACAGCTATGTTGAAAAGTCGGCAGATCACAGCCAGTCTGGGAGGCGAGTCGCTGACTATAAAAAAACCTCTATTATGGTGCCTGGTAGTTGATGACTTGATGAACACTCTAACTAAAAACGGATTTAAGATACAAGGGTATGCTGATGACCTGGTAATCACAATCCGAGGTAAATATGATTCAATCATAACTCAGCTAATGCAGAAAGCCCTACTACTCACCAGTACTTGGTGCAGAAGCAATGGGCTCAGCATCAATCCCAATAAAATCGAAATAGTCCCTTTCACTCGGAGAAGGAAGCTACAAATAAAAGCACCCTCCATTGAAAGCAGAACTATTAACCTCAAAACAGAAACTAAATACCTAGGGGTAATACTTGACAGTAAACTAAACTGGAACTCACACTTAGATAAGGTGAGGAAAAAGGCCATCATGGCAAACCAGATCTGCCGCAGGCTCCTAGGAAGGAACTGGGGTCTCAAACCACGAATGGCTCATTGGGCCTACGTAGCAATAATCAGACCCATGGTCGCCTACGCCTCATTGGTTTGGTGGCCAAAAACAAAACATAAGACAGCTCAACAACAGCTGGCACAAATCCAGCGGTTAGCATGTCTTAACATAACGGGTGCAATGAGATCCTGTCCGACGGCTGCTTTGGAAGCCCTACTCGGTCTCACACCGCTCCACATATATATACAAAAGGAGGCAGCCTTAAGTGCCTTATCACTGAAAACAGTTTCTTCACTCAAGTTGATGCAGGGTAATCTCAGAGGACACCTCGAGATCCTCAAAGACCCATGTCTAAATCACCTGATTGAAATTAAAACGGACCTTATACCGACGGAATACAATTTCAACCAACCGTATAAGGTCATATTTAGTAGCAGGGATGATTGGGCGAAAGGAGGGCCTCAACTAAAAAGAGGAGCCCTAGCCTGGTACACCGATGCTTCAAAGACAGTAAGATCTGGAGTAGGCATGGGCATCAGTGGACCAAATAGCCACATCAAATTGCCCCTCAGCTCGGACTTAACAATTTTCCAAGCAGAAGTTCTTGCTATAAACTTCTGCACCGCTTTGAACCTACAGAAGGGACAAAAAGGTGCATCCATAAACATTTTCACAGACAGTCGGGCCGCCTTAAAGGCAATTCAGGCCTACACGTGTGGCTCCGCACTGATCAGAGAGTGCACCAACAACCTGAGAGAACTCGCTAGGGGCAATGATGTTACCCTATGGTGGGTTCCAGGTCACAGCAACATTGAGGGCAATGAGAAGGCCGACAAGCTGGCCAAAGAGGCAGCAAACACGCCCTTCATTGGACCCCAACCTGGATGTGGACTACAAAAAAGCCACCTAAAACAAATAATCAACAACTGGGCGGCTTCAAAGATAGCCTTACGCTGGAAAGAACTTCCAGGTCACAGACAAGTGAAGAGTATGATAACTCCGTCGCAAAACAAAACCAAAGAGGTTTTATGCCTCAGATAAAGAACGCTCTCAGGCTACCTGACCGGCCATGTGCCCCTAAAATACCACCTCTTCCACATTGGACAAGCTGAGGATCAAACTTGTCAACTATGCAACGACGAGTCAGAAACTGCTGAACATATACTGTGCAATTGCGTCGCCACCACCGACATAAAGGTTCAAGACCTCAGGACAATACTAAGGTTCATTAAGGACCTACATTTCCCTAAACCTTTGGAGGGCTAAAGTTACAATAGATCTTATAGGTCGCGGTAACGAGAGGGGCCGCCCTCCCCAGCCCGGCAGCAATAATAATAATACCCCGATCACGCATTTTTTTCAGTTTAAAATCTATGGCTGAAATCTATGGCCAACTTCACACACGTAATAAAATAAATCATAGAATCATGACAAATACTAATTAAAAAAAATATTAATAAATTACCTGTTGGAAATTATAGATTTTTATTTCAACATCAACACCTTTAAAGATAAATTGTAGCATAGATTTCACCATTTTCCATTCTAACCCATCTAAACCACATCCTATTCTTGGGAGCGCGATTTTTTTAACGCCCTTATCCAATGCATGCTCTCTCATTCTTCTTAAAGATCGAAACAAAGTTTCGTACGTTGGTTTTCCATTTGAATATCGTTTTGTTACCAGATAATAAACGTATCTTTTATCAACAAGCAAAGTTGCAACATCACCTTGTCGTATTCTTTGTTCCAATAATTCATCAACCCTTTTAAATTTGCTCCTAAAAAACAAAGAATTAATTTACATGATAAGTAAGACAATAAATAATACCTAAACTCGGTAGCGATCCCACTTCCCATATTCATATCTTCTGCTACACAATGACCAAGGGCGTATTCATCATCAGCACAAAATAAATCCCCAAATGTTTCGATAACATTTTCAGTTTCTTCATCGTTATTAAACTTATTTGAATCCCAATTATCAAATTCCCTATCTCGCGATGCAGACGATCTTCTTGAATTGTTTCGATTTGAATCTTGATAATTGCGTCTTGGTGTTCCCTTGGAATCTTGATCAAACTTTTCATTGCTTTTATTTCCGTGATAATCCTTTCTTACTTGATAATATTTCTGCTCACCTCTTCGAAATTTTTCTTCTTCATTCCTAAATTCTTGTTCATTTCTTTTCGGCTTGTCACAACTCTCATCAATTACCTCACTTTTCGAGGAAGATGTTCCTTCAGGTCCTTGCTGTAACTCTTCGGGACATTGTGATGTATCACTTGAAGTAATTTCAAGCGTTTTAGCGATATTATCAACGTTCCAACCGGGACTCGTTGACATAACCTCACTTTTAATTTCCACATCATCAGTACTTGTCGAAGGCACTGTTAAGCTTTCTGAAGATTTTTCGGTGACACCAGATGCTTCTTGTTGCTCCTTTTCTTTACGTTCCTTTTTATTTTTCTTACGATTTTCGTATTTTTTAGATTTTCCAGCCATTTTTAATCGTTTATTAATAAATGGGCGAGTATTTCGTTTCAAATGAATGTAACACGTTTGCTAAATGATTATGGAGTTGTGGAATATTCGAGTTGGGGATTTTCCGTGAACATAACAGATAGAGAGGGGAATTCCCTTAAAATAACGAGAAATAACCAACAAAAACCTTTTTCAGTTTATTTAGTGAATTTGGTTTTATTAAGATAATTATTTTTAAAAACATTTTCTGGTGTACTTTCTTTTTCATATTAATAAACAATAACATTTTCTTTTAATTGATAAAACCGACTCATTAAATAACATAAATAACATAAATAATTATTTATTATTAATAATAAAAAATTGATTTGTAATTATGATTTGGGGCATTTAATTTTTTTTAAGTTGCTGTAACTTACTTAAAATCATATATATACTATCTCCTATATCGCTGACTAAGGCAGCAAAAGAGTGTAAACACTAGAGTGCAGATATATATATATCTGTCTCTGTCGTGCCCCCGTCTACTCAAGAGATATGCGTGAACACGTGGTGAATACACCTCCCCCACCCCGACCGGCGAACTTACAATATTTAGACAAATAAATATATGAATCGATGTATTTCTATTTCCTCCATCTAATTATGCAATAATTTTAAATTTCTCCACTTTAGTTTACGAAGAAAACAAAAAATAAAAAATTAACTTTTTGCAAATGTCACACGTTGATACCTCCGGATTCCAATGCAACTTCCTCCATTGCA